ACATGGCTTCATTCCTGCATCCCACCCGGGAGCACTTTCCCCCTCTGGCCCCACAGAAACCACCTCATGCCCGGCAGGTGCACGCACCACAACGTCAAGTTTATTGAGTCGAAGTCCCTCCACTTTCTGCACATAGAAAACACATTTAAAAAGGCCGGTGTTTTGTAAACAGTCAGGGGAGCGGTAAGGCAAACAGAGAAATGGCCACAGCACCTCTGTACCCCCCCGCCCTCAGCCAGGGGGACTGGGGGAGCCCAGACACTCCCCGAGTGACAACCAAAGACATGGGACACCGTGTCTGGTTCTGCTTCAGCTGTGGGACCTTGGGGAAAACCAGAGCCATAAAAGCCACCAGGTACCAACCCCCTCTCCATCTTGATGGGGGACAAGAACCAAAAGGCATCTTGGCATTGGCATCTGCTGAGCCTCCAGCATCTCTGCTGGGTTCTGTGAGAGGCAGCTCAGTGCTGTCCACATCCCCGAGGAGCGGTCTGCAGGGCTCAAGGGTGCTGGGGGGGGCACATTCTGCCTCATGCCAAGGGGTCCCCCAAGCCCCAGTGCCTGCACGGAGGTTGGAGGCACCTTGGGGGAGGCAGGAGGGATGTGCCTTCACAGAATCCCGCAAAACATTCACACTGTGCTTGGGGCTTTTCTTCCTCCTCCTCCAAGTGTGTCTCTCCATCTCATCCTGAGGAGCGGTGGGGAGGTCCACATCAGGAGGAGCAAAGTCAGGTTTTGCACAAAGCTGGGCTGGGCTCTCATCGCAGATACAGCAGTAGATACACATACATTCCTCCCTCCCATAGGGTTTTAGAAGCCAAACAAGGAACAAGGGAACTCAAAGACTGACCAAGAGCAGTTTGCTGTTGAGTTTTAACTCCCCCAACCGAATCTGCAGCTGGGGGAACCCAGCGAAAGCAGAAGTGAAACCATCATCCATCCAGACAGGCAACGGAGGGACAGTCCAGAGCAACACCAGCCACAGAGAGTGTAAACAACCAAGGAAACAATATAAACTGTATTAATGCTGACTGCTTTATCCCCAAAGCATCCCTTAAAACCTACATTTGGCCCAGTCCCATTCCCTGGATACCTCCTGGAAGAACAGGATTTGAAATATGGAGAAGAGCCTTGCTCTAGCATAGTGTCTCCAGAAGGTTGATGCAACCACAGCACCTTCTCTAGTGAGTGACCAAAACATTGAACCAGCATGAATCCACCCTGGGGTGGTCCTGATCCTCAAAAAACAACAAAAAAAAATCAGGCTGACGGTGACGGGTCCCACTTTGTAACAGAAAGTGCAGCTCAGGCAGAGGGAGGTGTATGAGTAAGGGCAGAAGACCGGCAAGATGAGCCATGGGAAAGCAGAGTTCAAACCAAACACTGACACAGAATAGGACTATGGGGATGTCGCCCTGTCTGATAAACACAATTACTAGTTCCCTTTATGCAAGACACACTGTCTCCCTCCAACTTAGGGAGAAGGAGGAGTTGAAGCTGTGGAGAGGAGCTCCCCCAGCCCAGGGGCACACAGCTGAGCACCGCGTGCCTTCGTAAACCCCAGCCATGACCCCCTCGGTGATGTCTCAGGTAGTGATGTCTACCCAGGGGGGCAGAAAGGGCTGGACCTGGACTCCAGGTCCCCTTGTAGTGATGCTCTGGCTTCACCAGGGAGTCAGGGCTGAAAGGACAAGCCTGACTGCCTGGTGCATTAAGACAATGAGATACAAACCACTGCAGGGCTCTTTCAGCCAAGCCCCAGGTTACAACACTCCTCTTGGATCTTCCCAGCACACCAATGGGTTTTCTCTCTGCTTCCCTTTGATCCTGGGGGAAGTCTGCATCCCCTCAGCAGCAGCGCGGTCCAGCCGGGAGAAGGAGTCAGGCTGTGAGATCCACGAAGATGGCGTTGGCAGTGGTCTGTCCGAAGATGAAGGCTCCGAGGGTGACCATGAACACCCCGTAGCTGACCTGGGCCCACCAGCTGTGTGTACAGGAGGACAGGGCATGTTTAGAGGGGACCTTCCCACCGGCATGCGCAGAAAAAAAATTCGGTTACCTGATTGCCCTGGTTTCTTGGATCTCAGAGAGCTTGGCTTGAATCAGGCAGAGCCCTGAAAGGCAGGGGAGGCAAATTAGACCCAGATGAGGACAGTCTGCTGAGGACTGAGCAGACACGCCACCAGCCAGGGAGCCACACTCCCCGTTACAGAGCAGAGAGACCAGTCACAACAGTTGGGCTGCCGGCCAACCTCACGCCACGCTTTTGTCCTTCTCTAAAGACCTGGTTCCTGCGCCCCCATCCCGCCCCCTCTCTCTTCGAGACATGAGGCCAAGAGACCTCCAGCCCCTGAGCAGCCCAGGATGCCCCACCTGGGAAGACGAAGATGAAGCAGGCGGCCAAGCCCCCGATGACAGAGATGACTTTGCCGATGTCGGGGATGAAGAGAGCCAGGAGGAGGGTCAGGAGGAACCAGCTGATGGTCTGAAGCACGCGCCTCCTCCGCTCCCGAACCACATCCTCCTCCACCGTCACCCCAGTGTAGCGGAGCCAGAGACCCTCCAAGACAGCCCTGCGGACATAGACCCAGGGCAGGGGGGTTTCCCCGCACTGCCCCTCCTGCCCACGCCAGCCCTGGCCTCCTCCCAGTGCTCACCGGCCGCAGAAGTGCAGGATGGGGTAGGATGTCAGTACGCAGAGGATGATGAAGGCTCGGGCGAGGGCAACAGGGATGTCGTTGGAGGGGTAGGACAGCAAGACATCCTGCTCCACACCGGCCCCAAAGGTCAGGAAGCCACAGACGCCTGCCGGGAAGGGAGCAGTCAGCAGGGGACAGGGACAAGCCTCCTGCGCATGTGTTTGAGGGACCGGACTTGGATGGACATGGCTCAGACGCAGAGGATGATGAAGGCTCGGGCGAGGGCAACAGGGATGTCGTTGGAGGGGTAGGACAGCAAGACATCCTGCTCCACACCGGCCCCAAAGGTCAGGAAGCCACAGACGCCTGCCGGGAAGGGAGCAGTCAGCAGGGGACAGGGACAAGCCTCCTGCGCATGTGTTTGAGGGACCGGACTTGGATGGACATGGCTCAGAGCACATCACAGGGGAGTTAGATGGGCTCCCCTCCCTTCCTGCTCTGTCCCTCTGCTCACCAGAAGGTCCCTGCCCTCCAGAACCTCCCAGATCCTCTAAGGACCATGTCACACTCACATGGGATCCCCTCACTCACCAGTGCCTGTGTAGACGAAGAGAGCGATCACCATGGCCGCCGTCACCACCGCCCCCCAGGTCTTCACCTCTGGCTGCTTCATGCTGTTAAAGACGGGCACGCTGCTCACGTGGCACTGCCGGGGACACGGAGAGAGAGCAAGGATACATGATGGGCTGAGCTGGAGTCACGTGGAGCCCCACGGGGTCTCACGTGTGCCATCCCCAGGTGTGTTGTGATATCATGATTCCCCCCAGGTTTGTCACTGGAGAAGAAAAGGGGAGGACAGGCTGCCCTGGCTGTCCCAGCTGGGCTCAAATTGATCTGTCTCCCTCCAGGGGTGGTGAGATGTCAAACTGGCTTCAGCCCTCTCGCCATGGGGAGGGTTTTCCCTGAAC